TTGTAATAAAGGCAGCCTTGTAACTTCCTGTATGTATTCAGTACTCAGAGCACATACCTATGAAGCCTGTACAGCTCTAAAATTTTCCAGGCAAGAAGAAGTATAGAAAGCTCCCTGTATTATATTCTCATGTGACATTGTAACGAATACTATTATATATGCTCATAAAAGGAACACCCTCCGTGGTTATATACTGTATGGTATCATTAAGAATTATATTAAGTTTATATGCTTATGGGTAAGCATATATATATATATATATTCACTTGGGTATCCATAACAATGCAAATAGCTTACAATCGCTTTACCTCAACGTATGAGTGGAAGAAGAAATTTAAAAGTCCAATCGTATTATTTCATTAAGAATCTCCTAAAGCAAGATTACCAATGCGAATCCTACAGGAAGGAAGACTCGAACGTTAACTTCCAGTAGATTTAGAATCCGACGTATAATTCCAAATTGCCTAGTTCATAGGGATAAAGATCCCTGTGTCTGGATAAAAAATGAGAATAGTGTATTAAGATCATTGATCAAATATTTAATAAATATAATAATCTTCCTTGGCCTGATTAATTTATTTCTCTTGGTCATATATATTTTCTTGGAATTCATTCAACAATTTGTCACGGTTCTAGGTTATGTATTTCAAAGTACTGCTAACATACAGACCAACCTCAGGAAATATAATATCGATAACAAGCTATGGGAATATATATAGAAGGTTAAAAAAAAAATTCCCTAGAACTTTCTGGTTACTTTCCATCATATAACGACACTACGTGTAGCTGTCAAGAAATTCTTACGTTGGTAGAATACTGCTCGTTATTTCCTGTCACTTCACCAATCGCGAATAGTTGCGAATTCCGACGTAGAGATCAATATTTCTTTGCTGTTTCTCATTTTTTTTCTTCTTTCTTTTTTTTCATACCCAAAACAGTCTCAACCGAATCCAATATTCGAGAAGGAAATATGACTGTAAAGTTACCTGCCTGCTTACTACTCCGTGCTCCGTCGCATTTGCCAAGAATTTTCTCAGACTGTGGAATAGCAAGCAGGCATTCCGAGATGGGTAAACAGGAATTCCATCAACATTGCTTATTACGTCGGGTGTGTTTAAGCGGGCCGGGGGATAAAAATGGGGTGGAAATATGCAAGTCGTTTTAACGAACCTTTAAAAGGGGTGCAATGCGTCTATCTTCGTATTTATCTTTCTCTATCCGTTTTATAGTCGCATCGTTATCTTATTCTACGTGCATTTTTTATTTTTCTCTTCTTCATTCGCTCCTGTCAAAATTTTCGACCCCCCCTCCCCTTTCATCCCTCCGTCCAACTTCACGGTACAACGAGCATAACTTTATCCATTTCGCACGATGCATGAAAAT